GTTGAGTAAAAGAGCTCCTCGCGTTCGTCCTTAATGGTACCGCCGGAGAGACGCTTGTGGAGCGCGTTATTCGCTGGGATTGTTTCCTGAAATACGACCTATGCACGACCCGACCTTATGGTATAAAAGCACAAAATCAGCCTTGTTAGGGTGCAAGTTACACAGTGGGACTTCCAAAACGAAACAACTCCGGCGTACCAGTCCAGCTCGATCCAGCTTTATTTAGAAAGTCGATCCCACTGCATAACTTGCGGCCCATGATGGCTGATTTTGCACCATGTAAATGGATAGTACAAAGTGCCTATTCAGCCCCCGGCACAAAAAGAATAATTTTGGAGACTTCACTGTGGTGCTTTTTGAGCTAAAAGGTGTTGTAGTTTTCACCAGGAAATAGAGGGTCTTACGTTGACAACCAAAACTTAAGGGGTTTATTTCCCCATTTCATGCAAGTCAAAATTTGTAGAGTGGTATCAATAAACAAACCTTCAGCACATTTACAGAACTCCACCCTCATGAAAATATGTCTGTACCAGCCCCAAGGATGAATTTCAATATACTGGGCTTTGATTCGAGGAAAAAAGCGACGTTTTACAAAGCTTTGTTGCTACACAGTCTCGGATCAAAAATCGGTGTTTCTTTACAACCTGTCTTCACGCGAACCAACATAGATAATTATGAAACAACTGAACGAAAAGAGGGACTCTTGGTAGTCTATCTTTATCCTAAAGTATCATCATTGTGTGTCGATGACAACATTTTTATTTTTTTGTTAAGCCTTAGGTACCTTAGAGGTAGTCCTTTACACAAGCATTATTTGCCTCCCTGGGCTTCCTTGCCTTAAACATTGATATGTTATAAATATAACTATAAATGATAAGAATAAGAGCAAATAAACAAGCAAACAAGAAAATGAGGCTTCCTACTGAGCGCTACTTGACTTAACTGAAACAAATTGAAGCCAATATTTTCTTGTGCATTTTCTTAAAGCCCAGCATAAGATAAACATATGGCAGTCTATAATCGTTGGTTGTTGTCCTTCAGTAGCATTTTAAATGAAACTGGCAAAAGTTCAATTGAGACCTCACACTACTGTAAAATGATATTAAAATTGTTTAAATCGTTTTCAACGATTTAAACGATTTAAACGATTTTAAACGATTTTAATATAATTTTACAGTAGTACAAGGCCTCAATTGAACTTTTGCAGTTTCATATGGCAGTCTGTTCAGCCCTTTGTTAACCCCATGTAATTGAAGTGCAAAATTAATAATCCAGTTTAAACCAGAATCAAACGGAACTAGTGGAGTGAACGCTGTCGAGACCATTAGGCTATAAACTTATTCTTCTTAACCTGTTTATCGTGGAAATTAGATTTGTGGTTTGTTATCAACCGCCTCGGCTTTTCAGAGCAATCTATTGTTGGTCTCTTGTAGCTCAATAAGGTAAGGTCCGTCTTGAAAAAGGCTGAACTGGCTGATTTCAAGTCCGTGGCCCTTGTTTTTAAATTACATGTTTCACGCTTTTCTGTGCAGTAAAATCATCATTTTGGTGTTGTTTTTAATTTGATGGTAGTTTTGTATCATGCGGTAAAAGAGAAGTACTAATACCTGGCAATATCTCCTTCGAAACAAAAAATAATAAAATAGGCTGCAGATATTCGCAGGAGTAATCGATACATACGGAAGGATTTGCGTAAAGGCGTTTGTTTTATGTTGTTGATGTCAATGAAAAGGCGTTTGAATGAGGTGGGGGCGAAATCAGCTGACAAGGACTTAGTTTCAGTCTCTCACGTCCTGTTTTCACAGATCTCAATCCATCCCTTGCTCCTGGTTTCCACAATAACTGCGTCAGAAAACTTTCCAGAAAACGAAAGCCCTCAAATTAGACGCGTTCTTAGTAAAAAAGAAGGCGCTTATTCCATCGTAGGGTAATAAATCTAATCACTAAGGAAATTGCCAAGCGGAAAGCCACTACCGAAGAAAGCATTGCTTGTGGGTGTTTTGACGATAAGAGCTGGTTCAATTGAAGGGCAATTATCGTGTGCAACGCATGCGCAGCTTTGATTTTTCTCTTAGGGGTAGAAGATGGAAGCTTTGTCTAATGCTAATTTAATTCGTAGCGCGCATTTAATATTCTCGTTATGCAAAAATCGCATAGTATTACAGCTATTGCCATCACATAGTCTCCGAACATATTATATCGGTTTTAGAAGAATTTTGTTATTATAATCATGTTTTCAGTTTCAGGTTGATGGAGTGAATATTTGAATTATTTCAAATGTTCCTGAGTTTGTGGACTGTCTTAGCGTCTAATTAACAAAGGGAGTAGATGTGGTATGTAAAACACGAGAAATGAGCGGGTATTGATATTCCTTTAACACTGGTATGTTTCAAAAGTCTCTTAAAAACACTGTCTGGTTTGTAAGCGCAAAAGAAAACATCAGTGAAGTGATGACATTTGTTCTATTTCCTACTTTAAGACATACATCATATATCCAACTTTCGTTTTTTAAAACATGTATCATTTAAATCGCCATTACCAGCTTACGTTACTGTATACTCTAGTGAAAATAATTTGAATGGTTTAGAGTAAACGATAAATCCCAGTTGCTTTTTCTGTGAAACGACTTTGTACTTTTCGAGCGCTGACAGTCAAAGATCGTTTCTATCTGCAGTACCGAGCACTGATAATCCGTCAAGCAAAAACTTTTAGTTAATTTGATGGAAAGTAATTTTTAACTTTTGAAAAAATAACTAGTTGTTAGGCTGAATTTGTGAATTATTTCAAAAGTTCACGACTTTATGCTTTGTAAGCGATTATTTTAGCTTAAAAGAGGCAGTAAATGTGGTATTATCTCCGTTATCTGCTCACGTCTTCCCTCGATCGCAGTAAAAAAGATAAGATATTTAGATTCACAGTTTATTCATAATGTGACCCGTGCTATTAAATTACTTATGCGTAAAATTTGAAAACAGTAGTCCTTCTTTGATTAAATGGTGTCACTTCCACGTTTTACTTGAAGGCTATATCCGTTGCATGCAAACGTAAGAGATTTGGCGGATTCTGAAGTTGTCAAATACAATTAAAATAATATGCCAATCTTTCAAAACTACTTTTCAGTGGACGAAATTCGCTTGGAATGAATTTCAAAAAGAGGTTGAACGTCCAAACTATTTCCAAATCAAGTAACCCTCGAAATCGGATTTAAATAAAATGCATTAATTTTATTTTAGCATCTATATACTATGATAAACTAAATGTTCTGTTAAAGGAGAAACTCTCCTTTTGCTGAATTAAAAAAACACATGATATATCAACAATTGCAGTCCAAGTGTTTTTAGCATACTTGCGACTGAGACAATTTTTCTTTTCAAAATGTTGTAAAACGCGATTAAGTTTTCCGCTGCTGTAGAAGACAAAATATAAGTATCTTTAGTTTAACATTGAAAAGAGAAATTAGAGAATTAGAAGTGATATGTTTTAAAAGTCAGCTAATAACACTGTCTTGGCTTGCAAACGCAACAGAAAACTTAGTGAAGTAATGACATTTGTTGTATTTCCTCCTTTGTTAAAGGCTTCTTCTATTTATCTATCGTTTTCAAAACATGTATCATCTAAATCAACCCTTGCTGTAGCTCTCGTAAACGATATATTTCAGTGAAAGTAATTTTCAGTAGAGTTCACCTTTTTACTTAATGTATTTCCATGAGTTAACCCAGTCCTTTTCGAGTGCTGGCAATCACCGTCTCGTCGACTTTCACAATTGGAAAATTTGTTTTCTAGTTTCTCTACGGGAAACTAATTTCAATCTTTTGTTCATGAATTTGTTGAATTTCTTAGCGATTATTTATTAGAGGCAGTAAAAATGATATTATTTCCATTACCCACGCCATTCTTCCCTCAGTCATTCATCTGTGAACACTACGGTGCTACTTAGGGGTTAAAATTAAAAACAATTGTTCTTTGATTACATGGTTCCACTTCCACGTTTTACTGGCTATATCCGTTGCATACAAAACTAAGTGATTTTCGCAGGTGTCTGAATTCGTCAAATACAATTAAAATGATATGCCAACTGCGAAAATGACTTTTCAGTAAACTAAAATCGCTTGGGTTGATCAATCTTAAAAAACCCGAAGGTACAAACGATATATCAGTTGAATAACCCTAGAAATCTGACATAATACACTTGCTTTAGCATCCATTTAATAGTATAAGACTAGTACATTTAAACGTTCTGTTCTGTCGCAGTACAAATGCTACTTTTGTCGCATAAATCACATGATATAACCACAATTGTAGTTAGACTGTTTTACATGCATTTTCCCTTCAAAATGTTGCAAGATATCACGTGGTTTCCACCGCTGTACTGGAACATCTCAAGAATATGAATAAGCCTATGTCATTTTATTGTTTTAATATTGGAAAATGCTACAAGTCTTACAAGTCTCATGGCCTGTGAGCACAAAATAGTGTTTGTTTTTTGCAAGTTTAAGAAGGAATTTAAACAGAAACTATTCATGAATCATAGCGGTTGTTCATCGGCAAGTGTAGGACTATTTCTCGTCTTTTAGAATGTTGAATAATTCGATATTTTATTCAAGAGTTTAAACCAATGTTCAATTTTCCTCACGATGGTGAATCAGTATTAAATATATATTTAAAGTTTCCCCTGTAAACCAGATGTGGCACTTTACTAAATATCCGCTACGTGAACCGTGTTGATTAACAAACTGAATACAGCTTTTAGATTTTGAAAATTAAATTGTGTTTCTTCCTGATTGTAAATTTTCTTATCCTATCCTTATGTTCTATCTTGGCTGATATCTTATCTTACCGATAAAAAAACCAGACTTGCCTCATGTTTACTAAACTGAGTAAACCGCTAAAACATTATTGATTATTTAGGAAATTATTCAGGAAATCGTAAAGTTTATCGTTGAAATTGTGTTGTCTTCGCTATGCTTATAAAGCCCTTGAAAACGGCGGAAAAGATATGAAGGTGTCCAAACATCTGTGGAAGTTTTATGCTTGGATTAACAGACTTAGCAGGTTTGTAGTCTCTTTTTCCACTTTTTTGATCAATAAGAGAACGAAATCCCTGTCACTGTTAGAGATCTCTAAATGCGAGTATTTAAAATGATCTTTGTTCAAGTCACTTTCTAAGAAGAGTTATGAATTAATAAGCTCGTAAATTTGACTTATTAAGCCTACGGTAACAAACAATAGGCAAATCGAATAACTGTATTTTTGCTCAGTACCAGAGTGTAATCTAGTTAGCGGATTGAATTCTCAATTGAAGAAAATAGCGTTGGCTTTTGTTGCGCAAGGTAAAAAACTAAGAAACAGATCTCTATATAACCTTTTGATTGTACTTGGTATATTCCACTTGTAGTCGACAATACAAAGCTTATTGTTTGTTATTGTTTCATCTAGTGTACAAGCACTTTATTCTATGCCAAGCGCATTCCGCTCATTCGCTATATCGTTTGTTAATTGTGCTACTATATATATGGACCTCTTTATGATGACCTGTTTTGGAACAAAGGATTAAAAACAAAACCAAAAACGTTACAGAAACGCGAGTAGAATTCGTTAGCGTTGCTTCTGGGACGATCATTAAGACACTTAAATTCGTTTATCACTTGCGGTTTTAAATTATTAATTACAATGACGAAAAAGAAATAATATCCCTGTTTGTATTACAGAGTATTGTCTTACAAAGCGTTTTGGGAGAAGCCATTCAATCGAACATGACTGTCGTTGCTTAGCCAATTTCATTCGACGCCGCTATGTTATTACAAACCGCAAATCTGAGAACCCTTGTAATTTGTTCTTTGTCTGTTTTGCGTTTAGCAAAAAAATAATCGCAAATTGACTTTTAGGAGAAGGTATGCAATTTGTAAGAATTACTTCAGTGTAGCCATATTTTTGTGGCGCTGCTCTATAATTAAGTGTCATTTTCTGTATTCGAGTCAGTAATATTTTATTTTCTTTGATTCACAGGACGGCAGGAGCTTTTAAAGACGTTTCTGAAGGAGTCATGCAATCTGATAGGCCTACTGTTTTCTTTTGCGTTCTCGTCGCATTTCTGTGCGTCCTCGGATTTTCAGGCAATGCATTTATACGAGAAGGAAGAACTTTGGACTCAGTAGCTTTGCCAAAGGAAAAAGTCTTACCTAGTCTTAGCAGTAATAGTATGAGCTATGACAGAATTAGATATCCAGAACATATATCAAGGGGTAAGTATGAGAAGAAAATGTTAATCGTTTCAGGCCAGGTGACTTGTTAAATATTGTTTTCACTGACCGAGTCCATGACATTGTTAATTGTAGTCATCACTAAAAGTCAACCACAGTGAAACCACGCTTTACAGTAACCCCGTTAATACGATCACCTCGTTATCTCGGCCACCTTATTCTGGGCTGAACGATAGCTCAGTTAGTCATTTCCTTATGTTAAAGAACCTTTCAACTCGGCCAACCTGTTTATGCGGTCAGATGTTTGTGGCCAGTCAGGTGTCCGGATTAACGGGGTTCCACTATGATTTGCTTTATTTTTGGCCGGGAAATGAATGTTACCATGTAAACCAGTGTTTTAAAAGCGTTATTTTGTTAATTATGAATTCAATTTCAATTTTAACTCAGCTATGTCACGTGATATTGAGTCATTTTGCGTTGTACAAAATTACCTCTAAATCGCAGGAAAGGTAGCAACGAAAAATTCGCACGTGACTGGTTGGTAAACTAACGGTCATTTTTACATTGAAAGGGGACACATTTTCTCATATTAGCGCAAGACAAAAACCAGAGTCCTCGACAGTCATTCGACTGGACCCAGACGAGATGAAAGTACATATTAGTTGTCAAGACTCAGCCCCCTTCCACACTAAACTGGAGAAATTTGAAAACGCAGTTTTATTTCTCTGGTTAGGCCTACCGTCCACGCTAATCCGTCACGAAAACAAAGCGTTTCGAAAACGCTCTTCAAACTGTGGCTTTTTGAAATTTACCGGCTTTGCGTTTTAGTTTGGACGGAAAACATTTCAAGAAGGAGCTTTTCGAAAGGGATGGCGTCACAATAATCACGTGATTTCCTTGACCGAGTTTTCCTCAAACACAAATCCAAAATGACCAGCGATTGTTACTTATTCAAATTCCTTCGGCGTAGTGTGGACGGGACCTCGCACACGATGAGCAGGTGAAAACTTTCGTTGACTCTCACGGACATTTGAATTTACCCAAAACCCACCATGTCGAATGACAACACACAGGGCAGCATCGAAACCTCTCTTACTCGCCATTCTTTTTTTTTTAACTTAGTAATCATTAATTCTTTTATAATGTCTATACTATTTATCTCCTTCCAGATTTTAGGAGAAAGATCCAAAGTGAGGACCATTGAGGATGCGGTCTGCCATAATCGTCACCCAAAAAAAGTATTAAATTCTAGTGTTTATAATTAATGAATGGTATATTGCAGGGGCATAAGATGTCCTTTTGAACATGACATAAAACGTCTTCGCGTTGTCTTTAGGTACATATGCTTGTTATTTTTGAAAGAATAAAGAATGCATCAAGAAATCTGTTCAGACTTTTTTGCCACACGATGGGGCTGTTCACAGCGTAGATTAAAACGAAACTTGAAACTGCGTCTCGACGAACGTAAAAACTAAGGGCAAGTAAACTTTTTCACAGAAAAGTAAGTTTTCTTTGTTAATGTTTATTAATTTAGTATTAAAACCCATACCTGATTGCCAAAGGTTATCTTTTTTNGAGTCCTCGACAGTCATTCGACTGGACCCAGACGAGAAGAAAGTACATAATAGTTGTCAAGACTCAGCCCCCTTCCACACTAAACTGGAGAAATTTGAAAACGCAGCTTTATTTCTCTGGTTAGGTCTACCGTCCACGCTAATCCGTCAAGAAAACAAAGCGTTTCGAAAACGCTCTTCAAACTGTGGCTTTTTGAAATTTACCGGCTTTGAGTTTTAGTTTGGACGGAAAACATTTCAAGAAGGAGCTTCTCGAAAGGGATGGCGTCACAATAATCACGTGACCGAGTTCCCTGACCGAGTTTTCCTCAAACACAAATCCAAAATGACCAGCGATTGTTACTTATTCAAATTCCTTCGGCGTAGTGTGGACGGGACCTCGCACACGATGAGCAGGTGAAAACTTTCGTTGACTCTCACGGACATTTGAATTTACCCAAAACCCACCATGTCGAATGACAACACACAGGGCAGCATCGAAACCTCTCTTACTCGCCATTCTTTTTTTTTTAACTTAGTAATCATTAATTCTTTTATAATGTCTATACTATTTATCTCCTTCCAGATTTTAGGAGAAAGATCCAAAGTGAGGACCATTGAGGATGCGGTCTGCCATAATCGTCACCCAAAAAAAGTATTAAATTCTAGTGTTTATAATTAATGAATGGTATATTGCAGGGGCATAAGATGTCCTTTTGAACATGACATAAAACGTCTTCGCGTTGTCTTTAGGTACATATGCTTGTTATTTTTGAAAGAATAAAGAATGCATCAAGAAATCTGTTCAGACTTTTTTGCCACACGATGGGGCTGTTCACAGCGTAGATTAAAACGAAACTTGAAACTGCGTCTCGACGAACGTAAAAACTAAGGGCAAGTAAACTTTTTCACAGAAAAGTAAGTTTTCTTTGTTAATGTTTATTAATTTAGTATTAAAACCCATACCTGATTGCCAAAGGTTATCTTTTTTNAAGTACACGGTCCATAAGAACGCAAATTAGTTAGTTTGCAAGTTTCCCTGAAAACTACTGCGTCGTATCATTTATGGTACGTTTATACCTTTTCCAAGACAACGTTTCTTCAATTAGGTGTATAATATCCTAATATAATGCAGTCTGCCACTGCAATGACCACATTGCAAGTTTCTGTTTCAGTCGAAGAGCCACGAAGAGAAGATTGGAGCGAGTTGATAAGGGAAGTTGAAAGAAGCGGGGGAAGGGGATGGAGTGGGACTCAAAATGTACCGCCGTGGGAGGTGTTCATCTGCTTGCTAATCATAGCAAAGGCTCCTTAGAACTTCCTCATGGTATTATGCATCTACTTTTAGTGCCCTTGCTCGCCTCCTTCGGTTGCCCATTGTAATGTGTTTTTGTTAATTTCCGCCTCTGTCCTAACCACCAGTATTGTTTGCACAGAAACTTTGGGAACAAAAGTAGACCTTAGGAGGGCGACAGTGAAAACCGCGTTTAATCCAGGTTTAACGCATAAATTAGCTGTCTAACAGAACGGAGGGAGTGAATGAGGGAGTTCGAGGTCCATTCCTAAACCTCATTGCAGGACTTATGTCATGCATACCATGGAGTGAAAAGCAGATCGACACAAATTTAACTGTTGGGAAGAATCAGAAGTGGTCAAGATATTTTTATCGACTACAAAAAACAACAACATCAAGCGAAAGAGCGGTAGCACGTAAACAAATTCCTGAACTGGTCCTAAGCGATAATATGCTCTAAGCCGGCTGCGTAATCAGCAAGAACAGGAGCTTTATATTACAATTCCAGTAGAAACTGCAAATAATATTCAGGGGAGAATTTTTTTCCTTGGTGATAGATTAAACTATAATGACCTAACTAGTTATTTCGTCATCGCACCAGCACTTCCTTATTTTTAGTTCCCTTGAATTTACTCTTGGCTGAAGTTATTAAGTGCGTATGTTTTTATTTTTTGTTTCGCGCCGTACTAGAAGATCTCTCCTAAATTTGCTTATTATTACTAGATAATTATTTTAGTTCGTTCTCTGTTTTGTCCACTTTTTCCGTTTATTTATTTTTTGTTTTTCGACCCGTTTCTTTCCGTCGTTGAAATTTACCCTCATCTGCTAATTCACTAATTATTGTACGCAGGTACTTACAAAGTTCTCTTTAAAACGCACGTCAAATACGACCTCCACCCATTAGTATCGGTCGCTCTCGCGCTAGTCTGAGCACTAGACCCTCGATTAAGGTTTCTATTTCTCTGCATCTCAGGAAGAAACGTATTACAGTTGACAAAATGGTGTCATGCTAAGGAGAAGATTTTTTATGCTTCTTTATGGTTATAATGGTTGACAGTTTACGTTCGAGAATAGTCTATCACAGACTAAAATATCAAGAGAGTAATACGTGAGTATATTCACGCCAAACCGTTTGGCGTGAATATGCTCACGTATATTGAATTGAAAATGGCAAAAGGAAAATGACGAAAGTGGAGTCATTGTAATGTACGTTTTATCTTACCAAAGCTTCATTGGTTACGGGCTTATTGTATGTATATTCAAATACAGTCCAATAACAGGGAAAAAAACAAGGAACGTTGCAGTAATAGCAGCTATTAAATAATTCAAAACTCATTGACGTGTTATCGTATCTAAATGAGAAGTGAGGCACATGCGTGGTCTTAAGCACTCAGTTTCGAGCACGTGCTGAAAGCTTTATGATGGTTCTCAGTAGTACCTGATATAAACCTCAAAATGGGGTTAATTTTTACCCATAATACTAACTGAAGGAGTCTGAGTCACGTCTAGAGGAAAGCAACGCGAAAGAGCGAGAGAACGAGTAAACACCTTAAATAAATAGTGAATAAATAGAAAGAGAACAAAGAGTTCAACTGTCCATCGAAAGTATACGTACCGTCGATCGCACTTTTAATGGTTTGCGTATAACGATAAGTTTGTACCGGTATCGCAGTCACTCCACCATTATCTTTAATTTTGCTGGAATTCATTATTAAAAGGCGTCAGTCTTTAAAAAAAATTGTCTATTACTAGCATTGGAAAAGTGTATAAATATACTGGTATGTTTTCTGTGTAAATAGTTCTATCACTTTGTTCCGTCTCATTCAGAGCTACTCAAAAACTACCTTGCACAGTATATCAAAAGGTGCGTTGGAATGTTTGATTATTTATTTCGAGCTGCTTCAGTTAGAATTCCTCTCATGGGCTACTGAATAATGTCAAACGAACGCAAGCAAACTTTTTAACCCATATACTAAATGTTTTGAGTTAATTCGCTTGTTTCACTTTTTGAAGGTCAAATACCAGTTGACAATGGAGAAGGCCTACTTCACAACGTTGCTTGTTGTTTTAATAACTGGATCGCTTTTTGGAAGTGCCTGTTCTTATCTTAGAGCAGGGAGAGACAAAATAATGATGGAGAGAAACAGCGCTAAAAAACAGCTCCAGATTAAACCTGCAGAATATGAGCAAGTAAAACCGGTTTATTACAGAAGGACAAGCTACAGGCACGCGAAGCCTCTGGGAAACGAACAAGGTATATTATGTTCATTGAATGCATATCATTTAGGCAGTGTCCACACTGCAACGGAGAGACTTGATAACAGGAAGTTTCACTCTGAAAATGCATCAAATGTTTACAGTCCACACTACTCTGGAGAAATTTGAAACGCAACAATCACCGGTCATTTTGGTTTTGCCTTTGAGTAAAACTCCAGCAGGGAAATCACATC